GTCTGTTCACAAGCCTAGAAAGTTGCATAATGATTTGCAGGCTAAAATTGCATTGATGCTGTTTTACTCACAGCTGCTAATCACTGTGGGGTTAGGGTGGAGTTCAGCCTGGTTGACTTTGGAGCCACCCTGGGAATGGCTGGAGCACACTGCCAGGTGTGTCTGCAGGGCACGAGTGGGTGGAGCCTCTGGACAGAAGTCTGCTCCCCCACCTGTGGACTCTATGCTCTCCCCTGGCTTCCCAGTCCCCAGGAACTCAGCAGCTTTGCTCCCCTTCACCTGTCGCCCTTAAATTGTGGTGTGGGTATTGTGTCTCAGCAGTGAGAACGCTGAATGATATAATTGCATAATTTTATTCACTTGTATGTAAATAATTTTAATAACTTTGTATTAATTTTGAGTACAATGAATATCTATTGCAATAAACTATTTTTAATAAAATTTGCTTTTGTGGAGTGACTACTTTTAAGCCATGAATTTATGTGTTCCATAACATATGCAGTTATTTTAGAAGAGGGGTCATGCTAGTTTTTAAGTTTCATTTTAATGGGTAATTTAGTTAGTACTTTTTTATTTATTTAGAAAAGGTAAATGGCATTACCTTCTGAAAAAAAATAATTGTCTAGTAAATTAACAGTTCTGTAGTTAAAGGGTACTTAGGACAGAAGTAAATGAATCATATATCATTTGTATGTTAAATATATTTTCAGTAATAGATTTTCTTTAACATCATTTTGGTCCCTTCAACATAACAGACACCTACATAGTAGAAGGTGAAAAACGAATTGTGACATCCCTGCTAAGGCTGGCTGGGCCCAGAAGGGACTACTGAAGTCATTATCTAGCATGTTAAAAAGCAGGTGTAAGGGTAAAGACAAGGGCAAATGCTCCTTTTCAAAATTTGATGGAGTGGAATGATACTATCATTTCTACTAGGGTAAAGGAAAAAATTGCATAGGGTAAATAAAAATTAGTCAATAGGGTATGCATGCCTTCCAACAGTATTTACTCAGGATTTCACCCAAGAAAATTTTGAAACTGAACAGGTATGACCTCCTAAGGAAAAAATGTGGTTCGCTAAAAATTATCATCTGGAATTACTGCATTCTTTAGAGCTGTGGCCATGGAGGAGACAACTGGATAAAACCACTTGTATCTTAAAGTTATACCTTATGTATTGGACCTTAGGCATTACTAATTTGCTTTGTAATTGTACTGGAGCCCTCTTGTCTGAGATACTTAATCTGAGTAATTTAAGTGATTTTAAGTGTATTTGTATTCCTAGACATACACATATACTTTAAAATACAAATTTTTAGCCTAAAATGTAAATGTAAGTGATTTCCCATAGAACCTAGGCTGCTTCTAATTTTTTTCAGAATGTGTCCTCTAAGCTGGGTCATTGGTGTCCTAGTAGTTAGCATAGCTGCTGTCCTCCCCTGTAGCCTGCTGATAGCTGTTCTCTAATTGTCTTTCTTGTACAAATGACGTGTTCCATTTCATGGGAGTGAACCAGAAGTACAGAATTCTTGTAGATTTTTATTATATCCTCCCATCTTTTAGTACTGTTTTGCTCACAATTAATAGCTTAATTTTTTTTTCATCACTTAAAGGTGTGTTAGTTTTCCATTACTGTGACAAAATACCTGAGAAAAACAACTTAAAGAGGAAAGATTTACTTCAGTGCAGCTTCCCAGATTCCAGTCCATGGTCAGCTGGCTGCACTGTTTCCGACCTGTGATGAGGCAGAAACATGGTGGAAGGACATGGTACAGTAAGGCTGCTTACCTCATGGCAGCCAGGAAGCAAAGAGAAAAGGCCAGGAAGGAAGGGGCGGGGAACAGTCCCCAAGGGCTCATCCCATGACCATTCCCTCCAACTGGACCCGACCTCCTACATTTCCATCACCTCCCAGTTACGCCACTGGATTATGAACCCATCGGTGGATTGATCTGCCAATGACAGCAGATCCAGTCACCTTTCAAAACCCTGCGGCTGGTGAACAAAACCCCAGCACAGTGCATCCCCTTTGGGAAACATTCCCAATTTAAACCACAACAAAACGCAGCACACTTTGGTCTTTCCAAAGCATTCAACTTGGCTTTCATAAAAACTACAGTTCCTCACACAGGACATCAGCTTACATAACCAGGGTTATTAAATGTTCAACTGCCACCATCAGCTTGGTAACTATTATTTTGGTAACTGTGTATTAGTTTCCTAGAGCTACTGTAATGAATGTCCAACCACGGAAATGTATTCCCTTACAGTTCTGAGGGTTAGAGGTTAAAAATCAAGCTATCAGCAGGGACATGCTCCCTGAGGGACCTAGGGACGATCCTTGCAGTCCTTCCTTGTCTCTTCTAGCACCTCCTGGCCCCAGGTATCCCTTCGTTTATAATAGCAGCATCTTGGTCTCTGCCTCATCTTTATGCAGCCTTGTGTCTGTCTCCTTTTCTAAAGTCTCTCACCGGGTATTCTCATTGGTCTGTCGACATGGCGGCAAGTGAAAGCAGAAGCAGAGGGTGAAATCCTGCTGCTTACCCTACACGTTAGTCAGCGCACTTCCAGGAGGAAATGCAGAGCCCAGGTTAATCTTAGAGTTGGTTACATGGGTATTGCTCAAAACTCTTTCTTATATAAATGTGTTTGTTATATCTGTGTAGAAGTTTGAAATGAGCGTTTATTTTGCTTGGAAGTTAGGGGGAAGATTCTAGCAAACCAAGTCTTCTATGTAACAAAAAAAAAAAAAAAGAGAAAATGTGTAGAAATTCATATTTATTTGAATAGCCTGAACCTTTAGAGCAATTACATGTCTTCAGTATGGTGCTCATAAGAAAAAGATAAGTTTTATTAAAGTCATATCCATATATAAAATGGTAAAATCAACATCAATGTCTGGATTACTCTAACAATCAGGGTGGTTTACCTTCAACATTTAGTGATTAAAAGTAAATCAGAAGTTACTAAAATTCTGAGAGCAATTTTGTACCTATTAGTAACTCTAGGGAAAGGATTAACTAGAAGATAAAAACTGTTGGTTTAATTAGATAACAAAGCCAGTGAGGTAGCACACCCCTATAATCCCAGCACTGAGGGAGGCTGAGGCAGGAGAATGGCAAGGTGGAGTCCCATCTAGGCAACTTAATGAGATTCTGTATCAAAATTTAAAAAACAGCAAAGGAGTGTAGCTCAGTGTGACCGGGTTCAATCCCCAATGGTAAAATAAAAAAGACATCTGATTATCCTTATATTTCTTCCCTATATCACAGATCATTTTAAGAATTTGCTGAAGCATTTTGGCATTCTTGTTATACATTTATAGATACAGTACCTTTTGCATGTAAGCAAGCTACACCTAACATTAATTTAAATTTAGGGTTTCATATTTTTATAATGTCCAGTTATAAGCAAAACAGCATCTCTGAAAGCCGACATGTATTTGTCGTGTAGCTCCCCACAGCTGCTCATCTGAGAAAGCCTGCATCTATTCAGACTTTGCCCAGCTATTTCCATTTTCTACCCCCATTCACAGTTTTAAGAGGTAAAGTTGGGCATGATAGCAACTTAAGCAGATGACAAGTTTCAGTCTCAAAATTATTTTCTTCCAAACAGCAGATAATTACAATTAAAAATGACCTTTTGTGTTAAAGTTCCTGCAACAGTTTGGACTGGGTTTTGGTTTGTTTTTCCTTTTTTTTTTAATTGTTCAACTTATATTCTTTATTGGTACAAGTTTGCAGTATGCCATGATTACAGCCCTCATGGGGAGTTGGTGCATATGCATATTGCATCTTCATTCTTTTTTCATCCCTTCCCCCTGCCCTCCCTCCATCACCTGGTCCCCTTCCCTTGTGCAAAAGATCCATCTTCCTATTGCCTATAGTTTGCTTGTTTGTTTATTCGAGACCATGAAAATCTCCAACAAAATATTAACTGGTAGTTAGAACTACTGAAGTATTTAGTTACACAAAGACGGTGTCATGACGTGAAATATTTGATAGTGGTGGTGAGTACAGTTGCATGTGCCTGTAACCCCAGCTCCTCAGGAGGCTGAGGCAGGAAGATCACTGGAGCTAGGATTTGAGGCCAGCCTTAGCAACATCATGAGAAACTGTCCCAAAAATATTTTAAAATTTTTGAGAGTTGCAAGAACTTCAACATGTCATTTTTTAAAAGAAGTTTGCAATCTTGGCATGATTTTAGGAAACTATAATAGTATTTAATTTCACTCTATGGTTTTTTAAACAGTGAGATGTCTGCATTTGATTAATGTAACAAAATGGAACCTGTGGCACTTCAAGTAAAGATACAACCATATTAGGATCTTTTGTTGAGGGGAATGAGTCTTTTAATTGGTTTTTCCTTACTTAGGTCAACATCAGTATTATCTCTGGTTCATTCTAGGCGATCTGAATAGATTTCCCAGTTTTCAGCTAAGTTTTCAATTTCTATTTGCTTGACAGCAAATACAGTAAGCAAACTGATGAATTTAATGGAACCTCAAATTAACCTGTCTTCAAAAAAAGAGCCATATCTCCACCCCCACCCCCAAAAAACCCTTAATTTTAATCATGGTAAGCTGAGCAGTGATTTACCTTTGAGTATATCTATGTTTCAAAATATCTATAGTAAACATATATTAGTTTTAGAAATAAGAGGAAAAGGCGATTATTTTTACAAAAAGACAATCACTACATGCACTGGAAATGTATACAAACCCAAATTTATCATATACCATGTAAGCTGTAAACCAGGCTACCATAAAACCCACAGCCTGGATAACTCAAAAGACGGAAATTTATTTGCACACAGCTCTGGAGGCAGAAGTCCAAGACAGGGTTGTCAGCAGGTTTGGATTCTTCTGAGGCCTCTCTCCTTGGCCTGGCCCATGGTCACCTTCTTGATAATATCTCTTTACTGTGTGCTTCTATCTCCTCTGTCTCTTGCCTTGATAAGGATCCCTGTTCTTCTGGATCCGAGCCCCATCCTCCTGACCTCATTTCACCTTAACTACCCCTTTAAAGGCTCTTTCCAAATACAGTCACATTGTGGGTTAGGGCTTCAACATAAGAATCTAGAGTGTAGGGGTCAGATTTCAATGGATAACACAACAGCTCCTAGCTAGGATAAAACATTTCCACCCCTGACATACACATGGAAAAAAAATCAGTGTGAAGACAGACTTCAGTGGCAAAGTACACTGAAAAATTAAAATGGGAACATAAATTGGGAACACTTGGGAGATAAAGTAGGAAAGAATTTTTCTGAATAAAAACTTTGATTTTTTTATTGATCAGTTTTATAACAGCATTCTCCATGTAGTACACTTATAGAAACCTGACATTTCCAAGTTTTGAGGTAACTGCAGCATTCACTGGCCTCTCAGCCGCACACTAGATCACATTCGTTAGTTTGAGAGCCCAACCCCAGCTACTGGGCATCTGGTGAATGCTTAGCTGTGGCAATTGCACCATCATGCCATTTGGCTTCAAGGAAGTCCAGGAGAGTGGCTGTCCATGTCCCAATAGTTTTACCTGAAAGTAGAAACAAATACAAATGTCTCCAGATGTATTGCCTTGACTCACCAGCTTTCTGTAGGAAGCAGGGATTAGCATTTCTCCAAAAAAAAAAAAAAAAAACAGTGTACACAGATTCCTTTCTTCACACTTAGTGATTCACACGTTCATCCCATTGAGTAAATACATTCATCTTGGCCCTCTGTTACTCTCAAGAGGGAAATAAATGTGTGGATACTGGGGAAGAATTGTTAAGGTAGAAGGGAGGGTTAGAGCAGGGGAAACACTGAAGAAAGGATCAGGATTAGAGAATTACTGGAACCATGGGTTCTTCAAGAGGGTACGGTTTAATTTCCATGAGTTTGTATAATTTCTGTGGTTTCTTTTACCACTAAGTTCTACTTTCTTTGCACTGTGATCTGCTAATATATTAATATGAGAACCAATCTGACCAGCGAAGGCCTGCCCACTTCTTACACAATGTTTGGAGGAAGGCTCCCTGCTCTCAGCCACTGTTCCTCTCCACACTGTCTAGTAACCTCCACTGATCAATCATTTATAAATTTAATCAATTATTGCTGTGCTTTATACCCTCGGTTATGACCATACCAAGCGAATTCAAATAAGTGGTTATCTATGTATTTCAGGATTATTTTGAAGCATAAAACTTTGTGTATCAGGTGGATCAATAAAAAAACCCATGAACTTTTAATGATATTAATTGGTGCTAAGGAGAACACAGGTAAGATTAAAAGATAACCAGTGTCATAGCCAGGCTTCAAAGCTCTGATTAAACATTAGATTAGAACTTTAAATTCTTTCTGACTGATCAGCCCCACACATTAGAAATGAAATCTGCAAAGGTGATACAAGGAAAACCTGTAAAGGTATCATTCGGTTCTTAAGGAATATGCTATAAAATACAGCAAAATGACCTCAATGCTAGACCTCATAATTATAACAGATTAAAAGAGTAAGGTCATGGCATCTTTCATTCTGATGTCTCCTGGGATGGTGTGTTGGGGAAACATCTCAATTACAGTTGTATGAAAAATCACTTTGGATGCATGCAGAGAACCTGGACAATGTAGAGTAACTAAGAAGAACAACACCTAATTTGCATTGCAATATATGGAGATAATGGTTTTTTTTGTTTTTGTTATTTTTTTTTTAAGAAAACTTTTCTTGTGGGCTGGGGATTTAGCTCAGTGGCAAAAGCGCCTGCTTGGCAAGTGCAACATCATGAGTTTGATTCCTGGCACCGGAAAATAAAACAAAAACAAAAAAAAGAAAAATTTTCTTAGGAGAGGCTTCAAAACATTTTAGCCAAACATATGCCATTAACAAAAATCACTGTAAAGTTACCATTAGGTATAAGAGGAATGCATATAGGGTTCCCCTTGAAATTAAAGCAAATCATGTTTTCATTCAGTTATTTCAGTCAGCAAGTTAAATGAGCAATAAAGATAAAGCTCCCTCTCACCTCTGTTTCCCCTGCAGTAGCATTGGGTTGGGTAAGAACCAGCTGTCCTGAAATGGGCCACTTAAGGAAAATGGCATAGACTAACTTTTCCTTCGATTTAGATGTGTACCTAGTTCAAAGAAAAAGAGCACAGAAACAAGTTATTATAACCCGTCCTTATTCATGGGAATTATTTTCAGTGACAAGTCTACGTGGTAAATATTTACCAGTGTCGCCCTTAATAGGAGGGAAGGAAAAATAGCCCACAATAGTATAAAAAGCACTTCTCTTTTCTACTCCCCTCATACTAAAATGAAATTCTTGAGAGGGAATGGTTGTCTTAAGCGAGGATTCCTCTTCAGACCTCACTCACGGACCTGACAGAGGAGGGCAGGAGTGAGCTCCGGGTTTGGGCACAATGAGTGTAACAGAGGAAGAGAGGGCTCAGGAATTTAGAGTGTATGCAGTGGGGTAAGTGCAGTGCTGGGCCACAGATCCAACCTGGATATAGAAGAAGAGAAGGGCTGAAGGCTGCGGCACAGAGAAAAATGCCAGATTTAAAGATGGTCCGATCACTGCACTGTAGCTCCCTTTGGAAGCCAAAGGGCTATGCAGAGTGAGCCGAAATGTAAGCGGTGATAGGGAGCAGAGTGCTTCAAATTACAGCCACGGAAAGGTGCAGCTGCTGCTGATGCAAGGCCTAAGGTGAGACCAAAGGAGGGCAAAGGCAGCAAAGGTAGGATGGGCGGGAGCCCCAGAACAGAGATGGACAGCAAAGCAGAACTGTAGGAGAGCTGTGAACACCACCAGAAGCATTTCAAGAATTGTTCTGGGAACAGGGGCAGTGAGCCAGGCTAAACACCAGAAGGATTTTAGTTTGACCAAGGAGTGTGCCCAGGACTGCCAGCAGAGGGCCAGAGCTGCCGCAGAAATCAGCTCCTAGGCAGGAGGACCATGGGACCTTTGGGCAAGGAGAGGGGAGGGAGCACGGCACTCAGCTCTGTAGGCCTCATGAACTATTTTGGCTTTCTCAAACCCAAGATTCTAAAATTGTACAGCTACTTGTTTCTGTCTAAATTTGCTTACTTTATTTTCTTTAGTGAGTCGGCAATATGCTCTAAGTTATAAGTCAGGTAACACTGAGCATAGCATTTTGTCTAACTTTGCTTTTTGTGTGTGTGTGTATGACAGGGTCTTGCTTTGTAGATCAGGTTGGTCTCGAACTCATTATGTAGTCCAGGCTGGCCTTGAACTCATGGCAATCCTCCTGACTCAGCCTCCTGAGTGGTGGGATTAAAGGTGTGTGCCACCTCTTAACTTTCTAATCTGCAGTGATCAGGCAGCAATGAGCACCCTCACTAACGTTGCATTCACATATATCCAGACACTGCATCAAAGCCAGCACGCCACAGTCTGATTCAGCTACTCACTGACACACAGAACCCTCCCGAGCTCAGAGAGAAGCCTCAGACAAAGCTTTTCAAGAAGGTATTAGCTGAAAGAAAAATAAGCCAGTTCAGCTAATTTTAAAGGGACTTCAGATGTAAGTTGACTGGAATAGGATGAATAAGTAAGAAGTTTTTTAATCACTTGAGACAATGCTGTTGTTTGGGGCTGATTCTTCCCATTTTTTTATTGTGGTAGGGTATAATGAAACTTCCCATCTCGAACATTCTTCAGTATGCAGTTTGGTGGTATTAAATACATGCACTGCGTTATGCAGTTATCACCACCATCCATCTCTATAACGCTCCACCATGTACGAACGTCTCCACTCTATGAGCTGAACTACCTTAGGTACCTCATATAAATGGACGCATATAGCATTTGTCTTTCTGTGACTAGGTTATATCAATTCACACAATGTCCTAAAGGTTTATATCTGTTGTAGCATACGTCAGAATTTCCTCCTTTTTCAAGACTGATTATGTACCTATCCATTCTCTGTTAATGGACTCGTGTTGCTTCCACATTTCCACTACTATGAATACAGTTCTATGAACACAGTGGAATTACTGGATCACAGAGTAATTCTATTTTTAATTTGGGGGGAATTGCCGTACTATTTCCCATAGCAACTCTGCCACTTTGCATTTCCACCAATAGTCACCAGGGTTCCAAGATCTCCACGCCCTCACTGACATTTCTTTTCTAACAAGAGCTATCCTAGTAGATGTGAAGTGGTATCTTTTGTTTTTGTTTGTTTGTTTGTTGTTTAGTGAGGGTTTACATGAGAACACAGTGGCCAGATTGTTGGGGGTTTTTTGAGACAGGGTCTCACTGTGTACCCCAGGCTGGCCTCACACTTGCTATCCTGCCTCAGCTTCCTGAGTGCTGCGATTATAGGCAAGTGCCACCAAACCCAGCGCAGCGTAGTTTTTATTTGCATTTTCATAATGAATAGTAATGTTCAGCATCTTGTCCCTTACATGTTGGCCATCTAACACCCGCACAATTGCCGTCTAGGAGGGGGACAGACAGCTGTTACTTCTTACCTCTGCCATCTTCCTAGAATAGTCTCTGTTTTGGCTGATTTTAAACTCCTATTTTCTCTGCCCTCAGCCACCTCTTGTTTGCTAATATGATGGGATATCACTTCTGAAAAAGTTAGAATTCACTGAACTGAATAAACAGTAGCCTGTTTTACCTTAAATCACTCAGCATTTTTCACTTACCTGAATGAGTACCTTACAGGTTCATAAAAATTGACTATGTTTGGCTAAAATGTGTCCACCACTAGGATATATCTAGAGATAATGTGAGCAGAATTGGACAAACATTAAGTATTCAAAAACATGATAATTCTTCCCCTTCCTTCTCTTGGGTAAAGCTGGAAAGTGTGTTGGATAAGTAGATTCATCAAAATTCTTTTTTACCCAGTTCTCTTTATCTCTGAGAAATTTTAAATGCTTTCCTCTATCAAATAGTGGTCAAGGACCAGAAAGACTTACCACACATTTGGGGTGACAGTGTCATTCTGGAAGCGCCAAGTCTGGGTTTCATAAATGGCTTCTCCATTGACTTTTAACCAGGTCCCCATTTGTCTTAACCGCTCCTCAAAAATTGCAGAAATGGTTCCATCTACTGTGGGTCCAATATTCATCAGCAGATTTCCTCCATATGCAACCGTTTCCACCAGTTGCTAACAACGTAAGAATGAGTACAGCTCTTAAATAGATTTTAAAAACACGCCACTTTCTATGTGTTAATACATGCCCTGTGTGAGTGGGCCACTGAGCTCCCCAAATTGTAAGAAATATTCCCCACAGAACCTCACTATTAAGAATAGTAACAGCCCGTAGACCTCTTACTGTACCTTCACCAGTTCTTCAATTGTAAGATAATCGGTGATTCCAGCCTCTCTCCTATAGCCCCAGGAAAACTTGTCTATCGTCATGCAGTTTTCCCATTTATGTAACAACAGATGCCCTGGGTGGTAGCGATCAGCGCAAGTGTAGTAGCCACCATGCTTACAGATGCAGCCATCTCCCCAGCGATCATTGGTGACCACTGTGTCCCGAACTGGGCTGAAATGAAAAGTATCTTTTTAAAGTTTCTTTTTTTAACACAAAAAGAAGAACGGTCCACCTGGAACCCACTCCTGAAAAATGATCATAGCATGATATACATCATGGGAAGCCTATGGGTCTGAAGTCCAACATACCTGAGCTGATTGGAGTCTCAGCCCTGCCACGTGCTAGCTCCCAGGCCTATGGCAAGTTGCCTGGCTTATCTGAATAATGAACTTCCTCATTATTATTAGAATAAATATAATCAGTGTCCAACAGCCCAGCATGCCTGGCACAAACAGCACTCACAAGAGTGCCCTACTACTATTTGAAGCTCCCTCCCATATAGTGTATGGTAGTTTTTCTTCTCCAAGAACTGTATAATCTCATTTTCTTCTCCAAGAACTATACAATCTTCTCCAAGAACTGTATAACCTCATAAATATATGCTAGCCTTTCTCTCTTACAACTGTGCCTAATATCGAAAAATCTCAGAAACTTTTGAGTGTTGCCCTCACATTAAATATCCCCACAATATTTTTATCTTTCCCCTTGGGAGGAGCTCCTCAAGACCCTGCTGCTCACAGTATCCAGAGTTTTCCACAGGGCTGGGGATGGAGCTCAGCGGTAGAGTGCCTACCTAGCACGCACGAGACCCTGGGTTCAATCCCCAGTACTGCCCCCACCAAAGCTGAGTGTGGTGCTTCACACCTGTAATCCCAGCTGCTCAGAAGGAAAAGGAGCTCTCCATATCATCTGTATCTGTGCCTTTTGTGGATCCAGAAAGCTGCCTGACTTCACAGCACAATACCAAGTGCTTTCTACTTATAAATGTAGATATGGGTCATATCACTCAAGCCTAACAGAGAAGTTCAATCAGCACTACCTGTTCTCACACTCTCCAACAGGCTAGAAAGCAACACAAAAGAACAGGAAGAGATGAGGATACTGAGGATGAAGGAAAAGAGGACACAGGCAGAGCAGCAATTATGGAAAAGTAAGAGGATACAAAGGAGTGAGAGCCAGGCGTGATGGTGCACACCTGTAATCCTAGCATCCGGCTGAGGCAGGAGGATTACAGCGAGTTCGAGGCCAACCTGGACTACATAGGGAGATCCTGTCTCAAAAGAACAACAAACAAGGAATGAGAAGAACTGAAAAGCACATAGTCAGAAGCAGTGCAGTGTGGGGCCAGAGTATAAGACGGAAAGAGGGGCCCGCAAAACGAGTCTTGCACTTCTTCATCTTGTGACATTTAACTGGTTTGTACTTGACTCCCAATTCGTTTACTCTTGATTATTTTGAGTAAATAGTGATACCACCGCTAATAACATTATTTACAGTGATTCCTGCCAGAGGGGCAAAAACACACTGCTGTCCAGTAGTTCTGTACTTTAAATACCCCCCCCATTTATAGTCTCATAGATGAATGAGCCTAACAGGAAGTATTTCAAGAAGTGCAGGAACTCAAATCTCGTGCATATTTCGGGGGGATGTGAGGCAACTACAGCATCCAATAGCACACACACCTTTCGTTATACAGCCAGGCTAAGAAGTCAGTGCTGTTCCAGTAGGAAGCCGGCGCGCCCCCATCTCCGTCCGCCCACAGAACCTCGGGCTGGTACTTGTTCACTAACTCATAGAGCTCCGGCAGCATCTTAGCAGCTGGAAATTTTTGCTTCTGGAAGGAACTAGATTTATCCTCAAGAAACAGTGGATGAAACCATTCAAAAAGGGAGTAGTACAGTCCAAAGTGCAAGTTGGTTCTGTTCCTAACGGCCACCTCGAGTTCCTTGACAATGTCCCGCTTCGGCCCCTCATCCACAGCGTTCCAGTTCCAGGAATACTCCGAACCCCACAAGGGAAAGCCTGAAAAGTGATAGGAAACACTCCTATAAGCACTAGCAATTGTACCTTAATAAACTTCTGCCAACAAAAATGCCAAAACAAGTCAGGTGTAATCGATACATAACTGCTTCTACAAATAGCTGTTTTGTGGCATCTTTTTTCATAGCATATATTCTGCTTTTATAAGAGAAACAAATAAGAATTTAAATAGGATGAGGTGGAGATTTTTATAGGCAAATTTCATCTGCTGAGCTATCTCTGACATTTTTCTCTTAGACACTGAGATCCTTGTGGGGGCAGTATCATGCCTGCAGTGTCCTGGTTCTATCCCAGCGAACTTGCTAGCATAGGGTCCATCCCCAAATAAGCAACCAGCAAGAGCGAATCACTGCTAAGATACGAACCTCTTCCACATCTATTAAGCTAGACAATGACCACAACTACTTATAATGCAAGATTTTTATCTATCTTCTCAACCAAAGATGGGTCTATTGCCTTCTTTTAAGATTATCTACTTTTATTTAGTGTGCTCTCAGACCACTAATGATGGTGTGCAGTAAATCTTCTTTAGCTTGGTTATTCATTTAACCAAAGGGGAAAACACACTATTTCCAACTAGTTCTGTGCTTTAAAATATACCCACCATTTGCAATTGCATCCTACTCTAAAGTCACAAGTTTAGATGCTGCTCTTTAAATTACCCGAAAGTGAACAATCTACCACCTAAGAAAAACAATGCATACCATTATATGTGTGCTTTGAAATAATTCACATTTCAACAGAAATTTCCATTTAAGTTGGTAGTTGCTCTATTTAGACATGTTAGAAGAGATATATAAACAGAAATATTTAAGAGATAGTACAAAAGCCTCAAAATTTCATCGAGTGCCTGTTACTATTCCACTGAAATCCTGAAGAATCTATGCAAATAGACAGTAATAAGATGTTTTGTGAATCACTTTACTCTTATAATAGATTAGGACAAGTCTACGATGGACTCACTTTTCAGATTCACCATGAGAAGATTTTAAAATAGCTTCCACTTATTCCAAAGATGTATGTGGCACTGGAGCAGTGTCAGTACTTAAGGTCTTATTTTAAAGTGCTCAGTTTGCCTGTCAGGCAAGAAGCCCTAGTGTCAGGCAGTACCCTTACCACATGAGTCTCAACTTAGTGTCAACACCCAAAGTCACCCAGAGATCTTCCTACACAATCCAGCGGTTCACTTTCCACAAGCAATAAAAACATCCAACAAAGTGCATCCTTGAAAATGTACAAATGCGGACCAGAAGTTGCTTACAATTTGACTGTGTTTGGCTTCTTTTAAAAGCCTCATACATAGTATGATCAAAAAATATGGTGTTTAAGTTAAAAATTTGAAGAATAATAATTTTAAAATAATAATAATTTTTTTGTTTGTTTTTTGTTTTGTTTTGTTTTGTTTTTCCGGTACCAGGAATCGAACTCACGACCTTGCGCTTGCCAGGCAGGCGCTGTGCCACTGAGCTAAATCCCCAGCCCCTGAAGAATTTATTATCATAAAAGACACATTGCCATTAATCCTCCTCAGGCTATCCCCCCTCTACTGGAGCACACTTATCCCATCATTCCTGCCTCTTTCTGAACCAGTTCTGGAAGTCCTCTTTCGTGAGTGTCTTTTGAATTGATTCAAAATATTTACAGCAATTTCTGTCTAAACAAAGACATTACAATGTGTCCTCATCCATTTTTCCCCCACCGGATCTGGCACTGGGCAGCTTTTAGCTCTTCTACAAAGTCAAAATGACCATGAAAGGTGAATGTTTTGAATCGATTCGGGACAGCGAGGCAGCCTCCATGGCACAACTACCGAAAGAGGTCTAGGGCTGCTTCAGAAAGCGGCAAGAACGACGGGATTAATGTGTTCAGTGCAAGGGTGGGCAGTATTTTGAGGAAGGTTATTGGCAGTGTGTCTTACTAAATCAAGTTTTGTCTGTTTGGTTTTTGAAGCAGGGTATTGCTGTGTCTGGCCTTGAACTCACTATATGGCCCAGGCTGGCTTCGAACTCATGACAATCCTTCTGCCTCTGCCTTCTGAGTGCTGTATTAAAGTTTTTTTAAAAAATGTAAACATTCACCATATTTTTTTTAGCACAACTTGTATAATACTTTGTGCCATCTAGCCTCAGGAAGTTCCTAGATATTAGGGAACCAACAAGTTCTCAGAGTAAATATGATTTATAAATACTATCTTAGCAAAAAAAAAAAATCTGTAGGAGAATATCGTGAAGCTACCAGGTTATAGCTAAAGGGAAAAAATACCCTAAGATAATTCCAGAATTTTGATTTGGTTTTCTCCTCCTACTCCATTCCCACCCACGGAGAAAGTGAGGCAAAATTTTGTATGTTAAGGCAAAGGAGGTCATGCAAAGGAAATTACCTCATGAATTAGCCTGAGATTAGGATAAGAACTGTTGACAGCTTCCTTGGTCTCATAGATACTGAGATGTATTGTGTGAAGTCCAACCAATTTTTGGTTTTTTGTTTGATTTGTACTTTTGAGTTTTGCTTTGTTTTGTTTTTCTGTTTTGTTTTGTTCTGGGTGATTTTGAGGCAGGGTCTCGTTATGTAGCCCAAATGAGCCATGAACTTGTGGTCCTCCTTCCTCAGCCTCCAGAGTGTTGGGATTACAGGCATGTGCCGCCTCCTCCAACTCTGTCCTATTAGGAGCACTGTGTTGTGTTTTATATACGCTTCTCAGCACACTATAGTTCTGTAACTATTTTCCAGACAATCCAGCCAATCGGTGTTTGTAATTCTAGCAACTCATCCTCCATTTGCATCATCTGGCCACATGTTAGTCACTTTTCTCATTGCTGAGACAAAATACCCAACACCTAAAGTTAAAGGAGGAAAGATTTATTTCAGCTCTCAGTCTGTAGAGGTTTCAGTCCATTGTCAGCTGGCACCAAGGCAGGGTGGAGTTGCAGAGGGGCATCATAGAGAAGAAATAGTCCACGGCAAATCAAGGCAGGCAGGAAGCAGCAAGCAGTAAGTCACAAGCGGCAACAACAGCAGCCCTCTTTCTAGCCCTTATATTCTATCTAGGCTACCCGCCTTTAGGACGGGTAGCACACACATTCAGGAGGGGGCACCCTTAAGCCTAGCATCACACCATGAATCAATCACAGGACCACTTCCTTAATCACAGTATCATACACTCTAGATCCAGTCACCTCTAAAAAACTCTGCCAGCCGAGTATGGTAGCACATGCCTGCAATCCCAGCACTCTGGAGGCTGAGGCAGGAGGATCATTGTGATCATTCGAGGCCAGCCTGGGCTACAAAGTGAGCTCAAGGCCAGCCTGAACTGCGTAATGAGACCCTGTCTCGAAAAGGAACCCCCCCCCCCGAAAAAAAGAACATGTAATAAATAAATAAATGAAAAGCTCACCTATGACCCAAAGAGGCTTTGGGGAAACATCTAGACACAAGTCATAACAGCTACCTAGGAAGGACACACACACACACAAACACATACACACACAATGGTGCAAAACCATGGAAGCATAATTCACACAGTGCTTTTGCATAACACATTAAGATAAAGCAAAAAGCTGGGCATGGCAAAACACATCTGCAATCTCAGCACTCAGAAGACTGAAGCAGAAGGACTGCCACGGGCTCAGGGCCAGCCCAGGCTACACAGCTGGACTCTCTCTCAAAAAACAAAAAAAGATAAAGCAAAAAAAAGCCAAGAAGCCAGGTATGATGGAACCTTTCTATAATCCAAGTGCTCTTAAAGGTTGAGGCAGGAGGATCATAAATTCAAGCAATTTAATGACATAGGGAGACCCTGTCTCAAAATAAAAAAGTAAAAAGAACTGGGGATATAGCTTAGTGTGAAGGCCCTGGGTTCAGTCCCAAGTATGAGGGGGGTGGGGGGAGAGAGAGCAGGCCGTATCCCTTTCTAATAGTAAATTTCCAAATGCAATATCCATCCCACTTCAAATAGCTGTGCAAATTATTAAGTGTGCATATCACTAACTGTGACCATCTTTCCTCTTGTTTTGTGGAGTGTATGATCTGTCTGTATCCCTAATGACCCCCAGTGTAGGCAGAACATGTGGTCCTTAGGTTAGAAGCAAGCATCCGTCTCCACTTCCGGTTACTGCTAACAGAGAACTGATTTCAGTGACCACTCTGCTCTAGTTTCTTCTTGCATCTACCAGCCGCTGCCGCATCTGTTCACCACCGCTGTGCTCACTCACCTTCATGATGTTTGGAAGTCAAGACAATATATTTGGCACCAGAGGCCTGAAGAATATCTGCCCATTGGCTGGCATTAAAAAATTTTGCTGTAAAGAGTGGTCCAAAATCTTCATATTTAAAATCCGGAGGGTAATTATCTTTCATAAAGTTCACATATTTTGGTATCTTTTGGTTTTGCCAGTACCACCTGCGGGAGGAGAGGAAACAGCACATGAACAGCACAGGCACAAGCCTTTGACATAATCAGCCCCGCTCCCTCTGACGTCTCCCACTCCCTGAATGTCACCAGGATTCTCTGTCACTTCCGCTGCGCTTTGACTTTGCCCTAAAGAAATCTTGTGTAAACCAAACCACCCCTCCTGTTTTCCACCTATTCCCTGTGAAATCGTGTCTGCCACAAATTAGAACATTCTAGACAACACATTCTCTTAATTCTTCACTCTTAAATCACAGTATATAGTATGTGTCTTCACAGATCAAGGCACTTCATAATATAAGTGAGTAAGGCTTCAGGATAGAAGAGGCTGCGCCTAAGACATAGTTTGCATCCATTGTATTCACTAGCAGAGAACGCACTGTGGGAGGAGGGTAAAGCAGATGGAAGCAACAGTGAGATTAAACAGATGTTGTCATTTTATTCTTTTTTTTTTTTTTGGTACCGGAAATCAAACTCAGGACCTTGTACTTGCTTATGCCACTGAGCTATATCCCCAGCCCCGAGATGCTGTCATTTTAATAAGTAAATTCAGCCTTCAAGGATTACATGCTCCTGCACTCTGGGAGGCTGACGCAGGAGGACTGCAAGTTCAAGCCCAGCCCTAGCCACTTAGAGACTTAGTGACACATGGTCTCAACATTTAACAGCAGAAAGGTGAGGGGGCGCCCTGGGTCAGTGTGAAGAATGCCCTGGGTTCCATCTCAGGACCACACACACACACACACACACACACACACACACACACAGAGATTACTTGTTTTCACTCTGAGCACAACACTGAGCTTAAACTGCTTCTGCAAGGCTTCACAAGCAAAGTACATCTACAACATCCAGACAACCCAGCAGTGCCGTCCTCACGGAGCTTGCGCAGCCATCTCTGCCCCACCCCCACTTTATCCATCTCCTCCCCTTTCCTGAGCGTATTTCCACAGGGCAAGCCAATCCACAGTCAGCACTGCACTTCCGGAGATGACCAGGAGGCTTTGATGGCTGCTAAGACCATTAAGGCGAGCGCTGCCGCGTGCCCGCTCCACAGTCACGGGGTACTTGCCCTGTGTCGCACAGTTCAGCACAGACATGAGGCCCATGCTGGCTAGTGGCTCTTGAAGGGAAGGTGACCTGAGAGATGCTAGGAACGGCATCCTTTCCCAAGACAACAGGAGCCACCTTCCTGCCTTTGAGCAAGGCGGATGGCTGGGTTTGCGATGCCTGGCTGGCACTACGTGACTGCGAAGTCACAGAAAGGAAGAACCTGAGTCTTTGACTTCAATGCTTCCTTTGATGCTAGAGACAGAACTCAGATCCCCAGCAGCACTTTTCCCTTTTAAAATTAAACTGCAATGATACATTGTGCAAAATAGGGAGATAGAGCCTCTGTGGACAGGAAGGGGAACTAGAGCTGGAGGGAGAGGGAGGAAAGGGAGAGTTAGAGGAAGTAAAGAAGAATTACGATGCCTGCGTCTGTGGCCAACTCCCCTCGAGGAATGCAATCATTACGCACAGCAAACTGTACTCATAAACATAAATTTTAACACACTGAGCTACAAAAGGAGACAGAAAGCTGAGCACAGACACACCTGCATAGCCACCCACACAGGTATATATATTATATTCTTTCTCATTTTGAGACAGGGTCTCACTATGCAGTTCCGGCTGGCCTTGAACTCACTTTGTAACCCAGGGTGCCCCTTGAACTCACAGTGAGCCTCCTGCCTCAGCCTCCTGAGTACTGGGATTACAGGCGTGTGCCACCACACTCGGCTCATACAGGCATATCCAGAGGACAACATCTCTAGCTGAACTTCAGACTTGAAGCAATGAATCAGGAAAGGTGTGCATAATCATTTGAGAGATATACACTTTTTAAAACAGAAATCTCAGGACAAAACCTAAAGTGAGCGGCGGCTCACTCCAGGCCTCATAGGCTCCCGGAGGGAGGGCCCTGGGCACATGGGGAGCCTCGGGCGGGGAGCACTGGTCTTCCGGCTGGCTAGCTTCCTGCCTCGTAGGCCCCCGGAGGGAGGGCCTCCAGGGCATGGGGAGCCATGCAGCGGTGAGCACGCTGGCCCTTAGGCTCGCCGCCGCCGCCGCCGCCGCTCAATTGAGATCTATCATGACACAAAGAAACAGTGACACAATTGGCCCACCATGCACCGACTGCAGTTGCCCACCCACGGATGTGTGTGAATCATTGAAACTTTGAACAACCCCTGGGAATACATGCCATACAACGGGCCCCTCTTGCTCCTGCCATTGGGAACCGGAAAGGTCCAGAGCCAGCGGAGGAGTAGCTGCTGAACAAGGACTCAGAGAACATGAGAATGCAGACTAAGCCCATGGAGTCAGAGGTCCCGTGGACTGGGGTCATGAGAGCCGCTCGGAAGCTGTAAACCAGGAGGACCTTGCACAATACCTGCAGAGACTCACTGGAAGCCATTCTTCCCCTGACAGTACAGGCTGTGGTGGAGCTCCGGAGAAGTCTGCAGCAGGATTCCTGCTGCCTGTGCTGACAGTTGGGGAGAGGACACTAACTGGTTGTGGGGTCCCAATGCGATGGGAGGCTGGAGAGAAAACGCTACAAAAAATGGCTTTCACCCCAGACGGCTCACTTGATTTTTGACAACCCTTAGGCTGTAACTACTTGTTAGATCCTTCTTGTGTATCTCTGTCTTCCTGAGAAACCACTTTGAAGATACCACCATGTATTACAGCAGTCATTGATATTTTCCTACTAATCTATCCATAACTCTGTAATGTTTGTATTGTTCCTATCCTATTTCATAAATGGATCCATGTTTATTATTATGTGTTTCCTACAACAACCATTGAGAATTATTGAATGATTATTCAGTAGGTCACTCATGTATAGTTCTATTTATATTCTTTAGAAGCCACTTTGAAGATACCTAAGTATAGTACAACAACTATTGATAATCTCCTACCTCTTTTTCTGTAACTCACTATCATTTGTCTATTTGTTTTCCTGAGAAACTATCTTATAGATAACAATATGTAAAACAATAACCATTGATAATTTCCTACCACTTTGTCCGTAATTTGGTAAGCCCCTCCTATTATTATGTTATCCTTCTTTTACTCTTTAAAATAAAAAAAAAAAACCCTAAGGTGAATTATGCGTACCTTTTCAAATCCTTTTTTTAGGAAAAATCCCAGTGCCAGGGAGACTGAGGCAGAGGGGATTGCTGTGAGTTTGAGGCCAAGCTGAACTATATAGATCCTATCTCAAAAAAAAAAAAAAAAAAAAAAAACACCTAAGAATTAAAAACCCTTTAAAAAATTCCTAGAGGCATGCATGCTAACACCTCATCATAAATAACTGGCGTGCAAAAACTGGATCCACCTATTGTCCTAGCTACTCAGGGAGTCCCTGGAGCCCAGGAGTTAGAGATCTAGGAGTTTGAGCCTGGGTACCATAAGCAGACTCTTTCAAAAAAGACAAAACAAAACCCCACCAATGTGTGTGCAAAGACACAGCCGTGTCACACACTGTGGATGTGTTTTAACCACTCTTCCGGCAGAAAGGCTGCAAACCAGGCGGCGGCAGCAGAACAACCATGGGCCAGTCTGAGGTTCATGAAACACAAATCGACAGCTGCCTCACAACCTGACCGTGCTCTCTGGTCGCCCGATCGCACACAGTGGTGTTTTAGCTCCACCTCGATGTCTGCAATTCTCGAGAGGCTGGGAAGCCAGGCGCAGTACAGTGTGTTCGGACACACTTGCAGTCTCCAGCACGAAGCACTTAGCCAAGATGCTACACTATCAGCACCCGGAAAAGCAAAGTTCGGCTGAGGCCGGGGCGGGGGCGGGGGGGTGACACACCAGGCGACCCGGCGCTGTCGGGACCGCGGGTGGGGAGGGGGCGCAAAGCAGGGTGCGAGGAGACCGAGGCGAAGGCGCTCACCAGAACCATTCGCTCCCGAAGCTGGGCACGGAAAACACGCCCCAGTGGATGAAGACGCCGAACTTGGCCCGGTCGTACCACTCGGGGAGCGGGCGCGCGTCCAGCGACTCCCAGGTGGGCTGGAAGCGCGCGGCGGCCCCGGTCCCCGGCCGCGCGGGGCGCAGCCCCAGCAGCAGCAGCAGCAGGAGCCCGGGCAGCGCGAGGCGGGGCGGCAGCGGGCAACGCATGTCTGGAGCCGGCGGCGGCGCTGCGCGATCCGGGGTGCCCCGCGCAGCGCTTCCGCGCTGGGCTTAGTAAGCCCGGCCGCGGTCACCTGACCCGGGCGCGGTCGATCAGGTGACGGGCCCGGCCCCCTCCGGGGTGGGAGTGGCTGCGCCGGGGCGCTGCGGGGCAGCGGACCCAGGATGGTCTGGCTCTCGCCTGCGTAACTCGGACCAGCACCTGCCAAGGCCGAACCCCAGCACCCGCGGGGAGGGGGCAGGAGCCACGTGATTGCTCGGCCAGCGGGCGGCAGACCCAAACCCGAGAGGTCAACGCCACACCCTCGGACCGGTCGGAACCTGGAGCCCTCGGAGGCGGAGGCAGAGTCGTCCCTTCGGGGCTGGAGCTCGGAAAGTAACCTAGGTCGTTGTCTTCCTCTGCTTTCGCCCCAGAGTTGCGGGGTGATAGCACCCAGGCAATCAACCTGAAATAGGTATCGGGTGAAGCTGCGAGAGTTTCATGGTCAGGTCGTCTGGATCGGCACCCGAGTCTGCCTTTCTGCCCAGACCCCAGGTGACGCCTTTTCTGAGAAGAAGCACTGCTGTTGCGTCAGAAAACCGGGCGGCCCGAGACGGGGACCCGGGTGGGAGGGATGGCTGAGAGATCTGAGTGCGGGCCTGGGAAGAGCAGCAGCGTGGACTGACTCGTGGAGGACGCCTGTGGAAGCCGTCTCTTCTGCCGCTGAGATGCTTCCAGCGCAAAGCCAGAAGGGCACCCCTTCCGCTCCTGCAAATCCTTCTTCCCTGGATTCCCCCTTCTGTGACGCTTTCTGCCACTCTCTTCCCTCCTACGTGCCCCATAACACCGCCTTCCAACCTCTGACTAGGAGTTCATGCCACGTCTGTGGGCGTGGATGCAGATCTGACTTCCCTTGAGGCTGTGCAATACCTTAGGGCTTCCAGAGCGACAGTCACTGCGGTCATCCCTGCGAGTACAGCCTGCAGCAATCAGGACGCTGCTGCTGAAGTTCTACAAAGTGAGTTAACACAGAAATACGTGACCCAAGTAGCTGTCGCCTGCGCGTTTCCATCTCTACAGACCTGATGGCTCCACTGCACAGCCAGCCTCAGCAGCCCATATGATATAAGGCAAGATGACAGTTTGTTTAGAGACCTAGGGTGACCTAAGGCCTCAGGGCCGTCAAACCGCAGGCACGTTTGAACACAAAGTGGGCTTTTCATCCTCCCTAATCACAGGGCTGCAGAAGACGTTTTTACAGTGACCGTGATGTTGCGAACTGTCACAAGGAACATCCCCGCTGACAGTGCGGCTCTGGGGGGCCTGTCCGCTCACCAGCATCATTTCCCAAACGAGTTCCAAGTAGCAAAAGATTCTGCCTTCAAAACAATTATTTTATCGTGTAATGAAGTATTTCCATCTCCATGGACTTCAGGTTAAGAGTGCTAATCAGAAGTGATCAATATACATGGAGAAGAAGAGATTATTTAGTTTGAAGTACAACCTTATGCCAGGTATGGCAGCACATGTCTGTCACCCCAGCACTCCAGAAGCTGAGGCAGGAGGATTCCCACAAGTTTGAGGCCAGCCTGCGCTACATACTGAGTTAAAGGTCAGCCTGACTACACTACAAGACCTGGTCTCAAAATAAATAAATAAACAAAGTACAACCATATCACAAAAGTATAGTCTGTAGAAAATACTGAGAACATATCAAAGACCTCCCTCATGTCCTAGAGAATGCATACAAATCCTAGAATACTGGGTTGAGAACCACTGACATAGAATTTGAGAGGAACTGTTTAGTATTATCTGGAAATGAACAGAAAAAAGAGATTCTACTGAAGAAACAATATTCCTTAAATGACAGAGAGAAGCACAGAGCTCCTTTTCAAGTCTTTGGGGAGCCTCGGGCCTCCAGGGAGATCGCGTCAACAAGCCCTGATCTGATGTTTTCTTCTGAGGGACTTGCAAAGCTGCTTTTGCTAAAATAATAATAATAGCAACAATAGCAACATTAATAATAACACTTCAGTTGGGTCTGCAGGTGCCCCATGGGTTATTAAAAGCAGAACAAACCTCAGTCGTCATTCTGTAGCTCTCTCTTTTATTGCCTTCAAACTTTGGTTCAGCTCCTTGCTCAGCTCTGCATGGAAGCATGTTAATCAGTTAGCAGTCATGTTAAATGGCTGGCAATGCAGGCCAGGCATGGTGGCACATGCTTGCAATCTCCAGCGCTCTGAGAGGCTGAGAGTCGCAAGTTCGAGCCCAGCCTGGGGCAATTTAGTGACTTCAGACTCCCTCTGTGGAGCATCTGGATTCTCCAGCCACTGCGCTAAACCTGTGATCAGAGAGCCTTGGACCGCTCCATAAGAGCGGGGGAACCAGAGTGCCCAGCAAGTCAGGAGGCTCCTCCAGAGCTGCTGAGCCAGGGCAGAGATGATGACCCGCAAGCCGCAGCCCCCGTAAAACTTCTTTCGAGAACAAGTCAGTCTGGTCCTCTTCGTCAGACCTGTGCTCCCTTCAGTTTTTCGGAAGCCCTTTTTCTATCTTCTCTTCCCTCCTCTACAGGGACCACCCTAATCTTTGCAAGAGCCATGCCCCCTCTTCCCTCACTTTCCAGTTAAAGCTTTTTCCTGTAAATTTTTGCCGGTCACCTCCATTTTAATTTCCACCATCACTGAAGCAAGGGCCTCTGCTAACCAGTGCAGAAACCAGAACTGACACCTTCATCAACCAGATTCAGGAAGTCCGCAAAAGCTGGTCTCCCACCTCTGTCAATGGAGCAGTCTGAGCCTCTCCATCAGAGCGGTGCCCCGACCCCAGCCGCTTCAGCTGAAAATCCTCCCTATTTTCTCCTCTTTTCTAACTCTGCCTAACAAATCAGCCTATGGCTATCCTAAAAAGCTTTTCTATGATGATGTCAAGAACCTTCCCAGGCCAAATAGAGGTCCTCATCTCCTGGAACCCATCCAGTGATGGGCTGAGGTCTCCTGGAGGAGCCGGATGAAGGAAGAGAGCTGAGGTCTCTGTTTTGGTGGTAAGAGGCACGCCTGGTGGAGTCACTGCGGCCAGAAGCCACACGCTGGCATCTGCACAAGGTGCGCAGGCAGGAGGGTCCGGAGGGCCAGCCCTTGCCAGACTCCTTGCTGCTGCCAGACTAAGCAGTCTCACTATTGACACCTTCAGGGTTGTCACCAGCTGCCAAGTGCGGAGCTGATAGCCTCGGGGCTCTCGAGGACACAGTCTGGATCTCAGAATGGGAGCTGGAGGACAGCCGCTGACAGTGTCAGCACTTCCCAGAATTCCTCTGAAGCACACAGTGGGAGAAGGGAGATACTCACCTTGCAGCTGACATCAGCACACAGCTCCTCTCTGGAAATGCAGAAGAAAAGCATGGCCGAGCCCATCTGTGGTAAATCACCTGGCTTCCTGGTAACAAGAGAGAGCAGATGGCACAGCAAATGCAAAAGGAAAGCATTCCTTGGGGGGGCCTGGGAATAGGGGAGTACACAGAGGGGGCCCAGAGGTTCAGAAGGAGGAGGAGCACCCAGAGCACAGCGGGAAAGAGCACCAGGGTCCCCAGAAGGCTTGCCCTCTGCCCCAGGGCTGTGGAATCCTGATTGAAGCCGCCCCCTGGCTGTGCCCATTTCCTGGCCTGATAAATGTGCATGGTGATGCCACCAGAGGGGCTGAAGATCTCTAACAGAAGAGGCGAGGACCTCAAATCAGCCTGTTGAGTAGGTTCTTGACCCTCATCATAGAAAAAGAATTTCAGAGTGGGGCGCGCTGGTGCATACCTGTAATCCCAGCACTCTGGGAAGCTGAGGCAAGAGGATTGTGAGTTCAAGCCCAGCCATGGCAATTTAGGAACCTAATGTAAGATAAAGGAATAGGTTGAGAGAACTTCAGATAGAAAAGAGAAGGGCAGGGAGAAAGAGGGCAGTGGGGCATGGTGGCACATGCTTAGGAGGCTGAGGCAGGAGAATTGCTGCCAGTCTGAGCCCAGCCTGGGCTACACAGCAAGACCCTGTCTCGAAAAACAAACAAAAAAAGAGGGCAAAATCAAAAATAAACGAACAGAAAAACCCCACACATACACAAAAGACATGTTCTTTTCCTACTCTTTACTTGTTTTTGTATATAAGGTAAATTTTTTTTCTAATTTAAAAAATAATGAATGGAGAACTTTTGGGAAAAGTAGAGAATTACAAAAAAGAAAATTGAAATTGTACATAATCTTTTTAAAAATCCATTTTAGGAAAACCAAAAAGAAAGAATAAAAAGCGTGTGTAATGTGAGGCAACTGGGCATTAGCAGGCCTGTCATTTACCAAGTATACTAAGAAACAAAGATGACAGTATATATAGCACAGTGGTCATCATTTGTTAGGTCTCATGCCTTAAGCGACCCCACAAAGCACAGCGACACTCTAAGGTCACACACTGTGAATTTTGTCTTGACACCTAGCCACCTGCTGGCTAGCTCCAAAACAATGTACACAGCAGTCCCGGCTGTTGCAGCTTACAGTATCAGGAAAGGAAAGGACAAGTGCTCTAAAGTCCATCCTGCCTTGGGCTGGAACCTGGTTTAGATTAAGAGTTTATCTTTTGTAAGTTTCTTACAACATTAAAGCCGCTGAGGAAACATTGACCGTCTAAGAAGGAGCAGAGGACATTTTGCAGGTCCAAGTTAACTTGTAAGTAAAATGCTTATAAGCATCATAATTATCCTGATTCCCTGAGCCCCAGAGTAACTTTTGTGAGCATAAAAATGTGTCCAAACTCACACTTGGGGCAGATGCGTTCTTGGCACAGCCCGTCTACTTCCTGGAAGATGTAACTTCTCTCAGCTTTACAATAACTTCTACCTGCACCTCTGCCTGGCCCCTACGCATCTTCACTGAATTCTTTCTTCAAGGGCACAAAATCCAAGGACCAGGAAATGAGAGACCAGGTCATCCCTGCATTGGGATGTGGCTTCCCTGTGATATTATGACTGCAGTAGTATGCAGGCAACTATATTAACATTATATGTTAAGACAACCCAACATAATACCTCTTTTCCTCGATATTTGGAAAAAACTAAGATATTTG